AGAGACAGAGACAGAAGAGTTAAGCAAGGTTTGTATATTCCAAACTTGTACCAAAACGAGACAAAGCATAAGCCCAACTGCGATTAAGTGACAACCTCGATCCGACTAATGGAGGAGCAAAATTCTTCAAATTCATTACTGTCCCCAAAATGATTTATCTGTAAAGCCTGTCCAATAAGCTAGTAATGAGTTATTGTTGTCTTTCTTCTCGTACAAAGATGAAATGAGTCGTCGTCATTTATAATTCAGTAACAGCGGGGAAGACACAAAGGGACATGGTTATTCACTGCCTGCCTTCAACCTCCGCGTTTTCCAACTACATGTAATGCATTTTCTCTCTTCGAATAGGACGCGTTCCGGGAATCACCGATGAATCATTCCTTTCTTACATTGAGGCGCAGGATCAACATTCAGCCTCTGTTTCGTTGAGCAAACAGAGTGTTCTGAACACTCCATCGTGTGTGCCAGTGATGGCGACTTTTTACCAGATTGGGGGGGGGGGCGGTCGTACTATGGTCCAACATTTAAGGGATTGATATTCGCTCTTTACTCGCTACCGCCATAGGCGTTCAGAGCCTCGATCTGGCAGCTTCATTACACGATCTTTACAGCTGGTTCAGTGATTCCCGTATATTGTTGCTTGTGTAATTCTGCGCGTGCTGCGTTAGTTCTTACACCGTGCGATTGGACAACGCAATTCTGACGGTGGTAGACCTTTTCACTAATAAATTTACAATTTGCACGCATGTGCACAATGCCCTTGGCGGCAAGAAGTGTGAGAGGGCCATTGAAAAGGTACAGGGGCGCGACTTTCATGATCATTTTCTCTCAGGTTTTCTGGCTTCGTTCGATTTTTTTCTTTCATTAAATTCCATTAAATCGTTTTTGCTATTAGTTTGTAATCTAAGCGGGATTTTAGTGCTCTGTAAAAAGACTTCACAATCGTGACTGACGTTTGCCTTGGAAACTAGTTTGTCAACTCCAAATACCTCGGCGAGCTAACATCGACTGTTCAACCTGAGTTGTAGTTCACGTGAAGTATTTCAAAATAACAAAAAGAACGTAACCATTTAAAACCATCACAAACGTAATGTTTACCCCTTTTATTGTGAACCCAAAATGAATAAAAAGAACCTGCGTTTCCCAAAAAAAAAAAAAAAAATCCCCTATTGGCAGTGTGCGCTTACAGGCTGATTGGACGACGTCATCGCCAGAACGCTGACCTGCACCGCAGCGTAGACCATGCGTAGACGTACGTGTACTGTACATAGCGGCCAGTACATGCAGTATCGCACTCTCGCCAGACCACGTTGTGTTTGATTATGGTTTGATGTAGCTTGGCCTACAGGCAAACACTGTCTCAGTTCTAGGTAGAAATTAAAAGACATAGTCCTACCGAGAGACTGTGATTGCCTATGGGCCAAGCTACATCAAACACAACGAGGTCTATTCCGAGCGTGCGATACTGCATGTACTGTGCGAAATTTAGATGTGCATGTACACTGTACATCACGTATGTTCCACTCCCCGAGCCATTCCATGTGTGGAAATTAACGACTTCGACCATGCGCGGCGGTTACTTTGTGTTTTATTTCTCCATGCTTGATCGGACCCTCGTGAGCCATACGGAAATGTCCTTAGCAACTTCCCAATCCTCTCAGTTGAGTTTAGGCCGATATGCAATTTCGTCCGGCCAGGAAGAGAAAAAAAAACTAGCGGAAAACCGTCAGCAAGTCTAAAGCTTTTACACTTTTCTTAACCACAGCCCACTTTTGAAAACTTCAGGAAAACTTAGAAGTCTTTGTTTCGCGCCTTCAAAAATTGCATCAAAACGTAAATAAACTACCGCTTACGAAAAGAGCTTTTCACAAAAATCACTAGTTTGGACCATTCTGGTACTATTTCTCAATTTCATTTTCACAAAACTCCTAATTTTACCATGAAAAAATTTTGGGCAGGAATTTTTATTTCCAAAAAGTGAAAGACGTAAATTTCATGAAGTAAACCAGCTGCTTGTGTGGCGGGACTTCTCAGGGCTCATTACGTATCCAAATAACCCTAAAAATGGGGCATGCGCAGTTAATAATTTCCCCCTGAAACATACATGTCGGCGAGCTTTGGGTAACTGAGTACCTTCTTCGGGGCAAGCAGATTCAGTGAACTGCTTGCCCTGAAGAAGGTACTCAGTTACCGAAAGCTCGGCAATTTGACATGTTTCAGAGCACTGATTTTATATTGCATTCTTGTCAATATTCTAATAACTTTGCTACGCAGCGCTTCTTCATACTTCAATGACATGTCGGCGTTCTGGCGATGACGTCATCCTATCAGCCTGGGAACGCGAACGGCGAAAACGGGATTTTTTGTGGGCAGGGAAACGCAGGATCTTTCTATTCATTTTTGGGTCACAATCAATGGGGTAAACATTAAATTTACGATGATTTAGAAATGGGTACGTATTATGTTCTTTTGAAATACTTCACGTGAGCTAAATGTTTTCAGTTTCAAGAAAGCGAAGGTATTGAGGAGTTCTCTTTGGTTCAATGATAAAATTAAAATTAATGGCAGATGTACTTTTATAAACATTTGTTGAGTAAAGGTGTAAAGTTTATTGGTGATTTAATAATGAGAATGACGCTTTTCTTTCTCTAGACGGGTTTAAGAATGCGTTTGATGTCAACACCAACTTTTTAGAGTACAGTGGAGTGATGAGAGCAATTAAGTTGTCCTTTAAAGAAATCATGTCGGAAAGTTCAGTTATTTGTTTTAGTGTCTTCTAAATGTGCAAAGAGAATTCATAGATAAGTGGCACGTTAAACTGAATATAGATTTTGATTTTTCGAAATGGTCTTTAATTTTCAATATTCCATATTCCTGTACAGTTGACCCTAAACTACGTTGGTTCCAATTTAGATTAGTACACCGGATCTTGGGAACTAATTTATTTTGGTCTAAGATTGGTAAGACAGGCACCAATCTTTGTACATTCTGTAACGAGGAAGAGGTGACACTTGTCCATCCTTTTTGCTCGTGTACCCACACTATCTCTTTCTGGTCCTCGGTATTTGTATGGATTAAAGAGAAGACCAATCCGTCTATTGCAATGGATAATAATGCCTTTTTATTTGGCAACACCAATGTTACACGTAATAGTAAAGTGGTTAATTTGATATTATTGATCTGTAGATTCCATATGTACAAATGAAAATGAACGAAAAAGGAACCCCACTTTCTGTCTTAAAAAAGGATGTGAAGAATTATCATTTGATGGAAAAATTCATGTTTTATAGAACTGGAGCTAGCTCCCAAATTTACAAGAAATGAAATGGGACCAATAAGTCATATTAGGCCAAGGTTAGCAGTTTTTTCAATATTATTGGAATTTAAATCTGTATTTCTTATTTTATAAATTGTTTACACGGATGTTTAAAAAGACAGAGTGAACAATAAAGGAGAATCCCAGAAAAAAAAAATTTTCAATTTCTGTTAACCTTTAAAACGCATGCGTATTTACTCCTTGCGTGAACGATCGCGTGTGCGCTTGGCAAATAGCAAAAACAGCTGCTGGCGTGTGACCGTGAATGCACCAATGAGAGTTCAGCGATTTGTCATGAATATGTATGAGGTATAGTAAAAAAAAACACATAGAGACCTCCAGTTTTGCGCGTACAACCAAAGATTGTATTTATTTACACGTGCTCTCAAAATGCATGTACACTGTACGTTCCTATTTTACTCTCTGGTACTGCTGTCTCTTCTTTTCAAATGTTGCAACTGCATTGTTTCAAATATTCATGGGCCAGATTAAGTAAATAGACGATGTTTTTCACAATCGAAAAATGGCTTAGTAGAATTGTATGGCTTGAATTCCTCAATGGTGTGTAAATTCCCTATACCGATTCGGGGTGAATTTGCCCACGCTTTTTTCGGGTGCCTTCTCGGCTACAGTACCTCGCCATTGTTTTGAATAGGAGCCGTCCGTCTATCGGTTCTGCCATGTATGGATCTTCTGAGCGTACATTCCCTCATAAATATTCATAGTCTATTAAGTGCGCTTCTTTAAATAGGCCGTGCCGTTGTGGGAGCTGTCCCAGGCCACCACGGTGACTAAGAATAGCTATACGGGCCAGAGGTATATACCGACCGCACTGCCCCATAGACTGCGATGTGATACATA